TCATCTCAATCAGGTGACGAGGGCAAATTCGAATATATAGAATGTAGCTACCTTGCCCCTCGAATCTAAACAGAAAGCATATCCGTTATTCGTCAATTAGCTTAAGTAGCCGACATAGCAATGCATCAAACAACTATCTAGAAAATTGTATGTCGTGCAATAAATACAAAGGCCATGAGTAAGATTGACGCAATATGTCTGTGTACTCCTCATCAAGCAAATTTAATACCATTGTAAAGCTGGCAAAGTTACAGTTCTTCGTCGTAACTTTGTCGGAGATCTATTTGACGGCATCGTCCAAATGATTTTTCATCCTACAAAATTTCAAAAGTTAGAACCTCGTGCAAGAGATAATGGATGAAGCATAATATTAAAAAATTAAAATAACCGAAAACTACTATACGCAAGAATCAACAGATAATGAAATAAAGAAAATGAGCGTAAAAAAATATTATACAACTAAATTATTTATTTTAATTGTTTACGTAATATTTAATTTAATTTTTTATTTAAATATTTCATTAATTAATTTAATTGTTTATGTATATTTTATACTTACTATTTCATTACTTTATTTAATTATTTATTTTAATTGTTTATTTAATATTTGAATTGCTTGTTTATTTAATATTTCACTAATTATTTTAATTGTTTACGTATATTCTTTACTTAATATTTAATTAGTTATTCAATTATTTATATTTTAATTATTTAATTAATATTTAATTTACTTGTTTATTTAAATATTTCATTAATTATTTTAATTGTTTACGTATGTTATTTCCTTAATATTTAATTATTTACTTTAATCACTTATTTTATTTTTTTATTTAATAATTAATTTAATTTTTTATTTAAATATTTCATTAATTATTTTTATTGATTATCTATATTATTTACTTAATATTTAATTAGTTTATTTTAATTACTTATTTTAATTGTTTATTAAAATTTTAAATAATTATTTTAATTATTTATGTATATTATTTGTTTAACATTTAATTATTTATTTAAGCATTTTGTAAATTATGATGATTGTTTATTTATATTTAATATTATGTTATTTATTTTAATTATTTAATTTATTTCAATTAGTTATTTTAATTGTTTTATTCATATTTATTTAATTTATTTCAATTAATTATTTATGATTTACTTAAATAAAGGCCCAGCGTCTGGCCAATCCAGATGACTGGGCCATTTGGATCCAAATAGATTCAGATAGCGTCCATTAATGTTATGATGGCAATCTCCGCCACCTAAACAAAGCCAAGAGCATGTACTATCAAATACCATCCATTTTTGCATACATTTTTAAATAAATTCGAGAATAATCATGCTTTATTTCAAAAATTAATTGTATATGATGGTTTCGAGCAACTCACCCGAAATTCCCCGATTTGGATCGTCAATTTCTTGGTGTTGATCAGCGTCTGGACATCGATTTCTTTACAGTAATTTTTCACTCCTTTCTCTCTTCTTCACAGTTCGAGGATATAAATAGGAAGTCATTAGTTTTTAAAAGTTTTAAACATTTTTTTCTTTTCTTTTTTTTTTAAATGCCGATCGACGGCCATTATGGAATTGGCCATCTTCCACTAATTCCTCCACTTTCTTCCCCCATTGTTGATTAAACGTGGGTCATTTCACATGGAACTTCGATTTGAGCTTTGGCCCATGGTGAAATACATAGTTTATTGAGCTCATATTCATCGACATTGTACCAATAATCCATTTTTACTTGAATATTGCTCTTTGCAAGCTATCAATCTAGAGTAATGTTGTGTTACCATGTGGATTTAATATCTTGGTTGACAGATTAAGCCCATGTTTGGTATTGATTAAAATTTAGATTTTAATTTGTGTCAAAGTCAACAATTCATTTCAACTACATATTTTATGGATCCCACTATCAACTTCGATCAAAATCTATTAAAAATTTAATTTTAATCTTCACTAAACAAGAGTTAAGTACATTTTCAAGAGACTCTTTAAACACAAAATACTCTCTATTTTAAAGAGTCAATACTTAACAATGAGTACAAGAGACTCTTTATTTTAATTTTTTAAAATAGAAAGTGTGTTTGGCTTTCCAAATTTAGAGAGCCAAACCCACTCTCTATTTTTAATGTGAAATAATTGCATTTAATACATTATAAATTTCAATATTGTACAATTTAAAATTTTCAAATTACTTTTGAATTGGTTGACATTAATATATAAAAAATTATACTTAAATAAAATATGTGGAGAAATTATTAAATGTTCATTGGGAAAAAAAAACAAAATAAAGAATCAAAGTAGATAATTTGTTGAAGTGTATAAAAAATTACTCTATAAATTTAAAGATACTCTCTATTATGCATAAGATGCTTTGTATAAATCGAGAGTCTTTTGGAGATGTTCTAAGTGTGTCAAAAAAGTGATTTAATGATGGTTATTATTATTAATTTTTTTAAACATTCGCTTTAAAGAATCCGACAACATAGCACAACTGATCTCATCTATTGCCCGTGGACCGTGTGTTTAGTTTATGATCACTTATTGAATTATATTGCCCATATTTGGTATTGATCAAAATCTAGATTTTAATTCGAGTTAAACTCAACAGTTCATTTTAACTATATATTTTATGAGTCCCGCAACTTTTCAAAACACATTTTATCAACTTCTATCAAAATTTATTAAAAATCTAATTTTAATCCCATGAAACAAGCGCTAGGTGTGTGAAAAAGGTGACTTAATGATGGTTCTTATTATTAATTTTTTCAAAACATTCGCGTTAAAGAATCTGACAGCATAGCAGGACTAATCCCATCTATTACCTGTTGACCGTGTGTTTAGTTTATGATCACTTATTGAATTATATTATCATTTAAATTGGCATTAGAGAATCATAACATTATTATTATCTTTTCATTTTGCCATACAAACTAAATTTTGGAATAAATTTTATCTGCGGTCACGAAACTTTAAATGTAATCGAATCCATGAACTTTAGGATTATGTAACTTTAATTTAATTTTGAGTAAGTATTTTAGAAGGTTTTTTTGAGAGCCCAAAATCACTATTAGAAGGCCAAAACTACTTTTGTATAAAAAAGTACAGCTTTTTGAGACCCCAAAATCATGTTTAGCCCATGTTTGGTGGGATAAAAATTAAATTTTTAGTGATGTTGATAAAACATTTTGAAATATGTTGTTGAAAAATTTTAAATTCTATGAAATGTGTGGTTAAAATTAATTGTTGATTTTGATTTAAATTAAAATCAATAAGAACCAAACATGAGTACAATGTAGTTTTGTCTAAAAATGCATTGAGAGACCGAAAAGTGATGAACTGTTGATATTTGAAACTAAATTAAATTTTTAGTGACTAAGTTTCCGTTTGGCTCCCATTTTCTAGAAATGAAAATGAGTGAAATAGTGTTTTTTTTGAAAAATTAGTGGTTGAAAAATAATGAACAATTTTCGATTTACATATAATATTACTTTATGAAAGATTGTGTGATTGAAAATAGGAGAAAAAAATAGAAATTTAATGGGGGCCAAACAGGTATTAAATTGAAATTTTACTTAATGTTAAGTTTGGCCCCTATTATTCCAAAAATTTATTTTTATCTTTCTTCCTTTCAATCACACAATCTTTCATAAAATAATATTACACGTATACAAAAAACTTTTAGGGTGAGTTTGGTTGCCAATATTTTTCATTAAAAATGTGTTTTTCCCTTTAAATTCCTACTTTTGTACTGTTTGATTACCCTTTTTTCATGGAAGATATTTTCCTATTTTTGGTCATGTGATCATATTTTCCTTAAAATCAAGGGAAATGTTTTTTTTAGGGGAAATAAGATTTTATTTTTCAAAAAATTTATTCTTACTTGTCTACCCACTAATAAAAAATTGACAAATATAATATTTTCTAGGTTGAAAATTAAATTAACCAAACACATTTAATTTACAATTTCCATGCCAATGAATTCTAAACTATTGAATTACCTAAAATTTATTTTCTTTTCATACAAATTCCATACTTGCAATCAATCTTTTTCAACTACACATTTTCTAAAAAATATTATTCAAAAAATTATAATTGACACGTAATTGGGGCCAAACGGGAGCTAAGTGACCACCCATGAAACTAAGGGTCTGTTTGTGCCCCTTTAATTTAAAAAAATATATTATGGGATAGTGATTGATGTTGAAATGTATGGTTAAAAAAGAAATTTTTTATTTATTTATGTATAATATTATTTTAATGAAGAAGGAGTAGTTGAAAATGAATACTTTAGAAAAATAATATGATAGAATGTGCCAGGATGATTGACAAACAAAAGCTAACTTCTGTAAATCCTATTTTCGAAGCCCATTTGATTCTCATTTTTCTAAGAATGAGAATGAGAAATATAATTATTAGAAATTCACACAAGAAATAAAAGTCAAATATAATAATTTAATATAATAAATAACGATCTTATTTTTTAATTTTTTGACAAAATATGAGAATCAAAAGTGCTCTCATAGTCCCATTTTGCTCCTGTTTGATCCCTATTACTTGAAAATGAAAATGGGGAAAATAATATTTTTTAGAAAAATGAGTAGTTGAAAAGGAAAGGAAAATTTTCAATTTACGTGTAATATTATTTTATGAAAGACTATGTAGTTAAAAATAGGATAGAAAAAAATAAAATAAAATATAATATAATTTAATTTAATGGGATCAAATAGTGGCTTTATATCCCTTCTACCAAACTGAGGAAGAGGGAGGAGACAGAAAACGGCGCCGTTGAAGGAGCTGTCGGCCACTCTGTCAATACTGCACCAGCTATGACTGGGTTGGCAGCATCAATAACCACTGCGCTCATGCGCTCCCACTGGTGGGTCCCGTTCTCTTGCATGGATGACACGTGTCTCGCCGCCTACTACAAATCCACCACCCGCTATTTACCATCTCCATTTCATCTTTTTACCGTCATCTACTTTTCAAATTCACTACAGAACTTTTCTTTTTTCTCTGTGTCGTTTTCTGTGTGTAATAGCGCAGTCTGCGGCGAAGATATTTTTATTTTATTTTTTTAATTTTTGCAGAAAATTGTAAACAGGTAAAGGAAAAGGGATTTTTGGGATTTTCTTTCTGCACATTTCAGTGACTTTTCAATACATATTTACCTTCCCTTTTAATTGAACAAACCCTTTTCGAGGGTTCTCTATTTCTCTCCGTCTCTGTGCCTTTTCTTTTGATACTGTTAAGAAACCCTGAAAGCCCGAAGCCCGAAGCCATTGCTTGACAAGCTATGTCGGGTCTTTATAATTCGAACTTTTCTCCTGCAAGAACTGTGTCTCCACAGATTAGAAATACTCCAGATGTAGAAAGGTATGATTACATTATTTTTGAACTCTCTCTTTTTTTCAATCTGGTCACTTGAATAGTTTTGGATGATTTTGATCGATGTTGGGTTTGTTTTTTATGTTATGTTTCATTTTGAAATATCTTAGTAACCAGTACTTGTCAGAGCTGTTGGCGGAGCATCAAAAGCTTGGACCTTTCATGCAAGTGCTTCCCAATTGTAGCAGACTCTTGAATCAAGGTAATTTTTTAGTTTTTCTTTTTTACTTCAGTCGTTGATACTTACTTCCCGTACTCGTTGGATCTACGTAACCTTTGTGTTATAGTTGCATCTAGGAGAATTCACACAGTGATCGTTTTGCTTTTAGATGTACTTGTTGGCTTTGAACATATTCGAGTTACCACAATAGCCAACCTTGTGGTACCCGTACTTCCCAGTGGGTGGCTAGCTGTTCTTGGCTGTAATTCGACATTCACCCATAAATTCACTGCATTTTCATTGTGGAATTGCACTTTGACCATTGTTTTATGATTGGTTTTGATTTCTGGATTGAGAATTAGTTGTGTCCTTGGTAACGAAATCCAACATTGTGTATTTTTATTGCAATGAACAATTTTCATGTGATCAATTTTGGTGGCGACCAAAATTCTTGAACTTAATGATCAGCGCATGTCTAAATATTTGATAGGGTTGATGCACACGTGTTCTTCTGATGTCTATTTGTAGTGATAACGAGGTTGCATTTGTATGACTTCGTCAGTTTTCCCTTAGCCTTCTAGTTCTTGTGAAAATTGATGATTTTTGTTTTTCATTTTTTTGGAAGTTATGTTGGAAAATCTAAATAGCTGACCCTTATTAGGGATTGGTCCAGTTTCATGGAAAAACACCAACCAGTTTTCTCCACTGTGGACCTCAGATTATGGGGTTGGCATAACTACAGAAATTTGTTAATTTACTGGAGAGGAGCACAAAAAGTAAGTGTTGAGTGAGGGACGTTTGAGAATATTTTGTCATAGTATGTAATAATGCTATTACAAACTTCATTGGATATCCGTGTTTCACTTGTGCTGGCACATTCAATTTATCTTTAGTATTATACTTTTGAAACTGATCAATACTTTCTTTTATTGATTGGTGGCATCTCATGTGGAGCGATGCATTTAGAGTTCTCCCTTTAGCATTTAGATTTAGTAAAACATTTGTTTAGAAAAGGCTTTGTTGACTGATATTCGTAGATGTAATATTCATATTAAATCTGCAAATACCACTATTTAGAGTTACAACAGGATGTTCTAACTCTCATGTTAAATAACTGTTGTGATCTAGCATTTTTCAAAGGTTATGTTTTGCTGATTTTGAAGTGTCATCTTACCATTCCCCTATCATTTTATCTTTACAGAGATAGTACGGGTTTCCAGGATTATGCCAAACCAAGGTTTTGGTGAACTTGATAGACTAAGACATAGAAGTCCTAGTCCCATGTCTTCATCAAATCTTTTATCAAATGTTGCTGGCACAGGTTTAGCAGGCTGGAATGGACTTCCGCAGGAGGTAATTAGTTTTCTGATTATTTGGTTACTTCTATATTATGTCAATCAATGTGGTTATGTTTTATTGAACACCCCCACCCCCCCCCCCCCCCCAACAAAAAAAAAAAAAAAAAAAAAAAAAAAAAAATTGCAATTCCAAGAGTTGACCCATTATAGGAGGAATCTTCAAATCTGGTGCAATTTACGGGGAAAGAGACTAACTCATCAAATAGCAATTAATGCACCAGAAATTTCGTCTCCTCCAAAGCTCCAACCCTCATCTTCCCTGTCTGCTTGTTTGAAATTACCGGTTTAATGCCCCTGTCTGCCATTTCCAGCCGTGTCCAAGTTTAAAGCCGAGTATCCGACCCGTATCCCGTGTCCATATCCGTGTCGTGTCGTGTCGACATGGATACTTGGCCAAAAATGGAGAGTCCAAGCAACATAGGCCCAAGTCACAGATTTAGGAGTTTATAAGTTTATGTTTATATCCCTCTCATGTAGCCGCTGGTGGAGTACCTTTATTAATGGTTTAGTAAATTATAATTTCAATATGTGGTGGGTTCCCAAGTCTGGTCAAAAGCATAGTAGCCTTTTCAACTTCTGATCATCTTTTTATGTGTGTACTAAATCAGCTTCATCATTGTGATATATTAGATTTAAAATATATTTTAATGTTATTTTTTTTATTAAAATTCAATATAATCAAATATTTAATTCACACATTTCTTTACTTTTAGTTTGCCATACCCAAGATTTTAGGAAACAGGATCCTTGATATGTACTTGTATTCGATACCCATACCCGAAGCAACATAGGTACCCTTTGTGTTTGTTTGATGAATGTGCTTAGTGGTTGAAATTTTTGGAGTGTTCATTTCTCTTGCAGCACAATGGAACCTGTAGGAGTTAACTTGATATGTTGATCTCCCAATTTCTGTTGGGAATGATGAATAAGTCTTTCTAGAATGGCCATGTATGCTTTTACTCTGTAGTAAATGCATAATATTACAAATGTTAGGACAAGATCGACAATAAATGTTTGAGACCTATAGTAGATAGGTGTATGTAAAAGTCATATGGCAATCTCTTTTGACTACTTGTGAGATTCATTTAAAGTGTACTCTGTAAATTCATTCCTTGGAACCCACAATTGAAGCCTTTAGTTTTTCTCACCATAGATTTGAGGTACCTTTAAGTGCATCGATCACTCTGCTATGACTGTTCCTTCTAGTACTTTAAAATTCATGACTACCTTTGAAAACTCCCCACCCAAAGAATTCTCCATTAAGCAGGGAAAGAAGGTGAAAGATAGATATTTGAGGCTATCATAACATATGAACAATGATGTAGTTTGTTTTGCTTATTCCAATTTATGGAGCCAACGTATGATGCTTGGACTCAGGTACGAATATTAGGTATGGTATGTATTTAAGTATCAAATATTTTGTTTTCTAAAATGTAGGATACAAGGACATGCGAGTCTAAATTTTGGATATAGGTACGTGGGTACGTCTTTCAAACTTCACGCCCGAAAATTCAAGCTTAGATTTTTTTTATTAGTTTCAAAAAAATAAAAATAAATTTATCATCATTATGTTGCTGTTGCATTGCTGTTCATTAAGTTATTTATGACTGTTCACATATCTATGTGCTTGGATTCAGGTGTGGGTATGTAACTAAGTGTTGGATATTTAATTTTCTAAAACGTAGGATACAGAAATATGACTAAAAATAGTCCAAATTTCGGACACGAGTACGTGAGTACTCTTTCAAACTTCAATTTTTTTCCCCAAAAAAACACATAAAAAGTTGATTAAGATAAGAGTTTTTAGTTTTATAATTTAGAGATGTCATGTTCTTTCTTAATTTTAAAAAGGACTTGCACGTTAATTTTCATGTAGTAATTGGAAAAGAAAGAGATTAGGCTTCTTTTACAAGTTTGTCTTTTCATTGAGGTAAAATGGTAAATAAAGTGATTCAAAAGTATTTTTGCTTTTGAATTGGGGTAAAATGGTAATTGTGGTGTTAAAAAATTGAGCAAATGAATTTCTTTAATTTCCAAGATAGCCAAATATGGCTCTTCACATATTCTTCAACAAATTAGGGCTTCTTCAATTCTTCTTCAATCCACACTCATTGGCCGCCCACACCCTTCAGCCCTTGAACAAATTGAGTTTTAGCCTTGAGCAAATTAAGTTTCTGTCCTTCAACTGATTAAGTTTCACATCTGGTAAGTTTTCTGGGTTCTTTCTCAGTTTCCTCATGGTGGCGCTATCGCAGTCATCCTTCCTAGTTGCCATGTAGGCTTGAAAATTGAAGGATTCGACTTGTATTTTATACCAATACACTTATCGTGTAGTGTCGACCCGGGAATGCCAGTTGGAATGCCAAGTCCAAGCATCACAAGTTCAAATAAAACCCCATATTATCACCAATACTCCCATCCCATATAAACAGCCCTAATCTACAGTAACCAATATACATGAGCAATCTATGGTCCATGGCCCAAATCAAACCAAAGCCATATACATATTTTTCAATCCAAACACCAACACACCTAATCCCAATAGCCCATTAAATTTATCCCCACACAAATAGCCCAATTGAACAAACCCATTCATCAGCCCAAAATCCATTTATCCAAAAATTTCGCAAAATGCATTCATCACAATCACTAACTCGGCCCACATCATTAAATCCAGCCCCACACAAAAAGCCCAATTGAATAGACCCATTCATCGACTCGAATTCCTTTTATCCAAAAATTTCACAAAATTCATTCCCAGCCTATCACAAACTCTAATTCGGCCCACATCCTCATTCTTAAGCTTTTTCCAAATTCGCCACCATCTGTACATACCGATTTCCACCACGTCGCCTGCTCCAATCAAAAATCACCACTACAACATCGTCTTCAATCACACATCCAATATAAACAACGCAAATAACCAAGCCCATCCTCGATCAATGAAGGAAAACCCATAACCTAAACCATCAACTGCCACTTCCAAGCTCCACTACCACAGTCACCTAGGTTGTCGTGTCAGCTTGAAAATTAAAAGATCCATTCTATATTTCATACCAGTACCCATATCGTGTCGTGTCACGTCGACACGGGTATGCCGGTCAGAATACCAAGTCCGAGCATTATAAGAGCCAACCACATGCTTTTAGTCTTAAGCCTTTCAAAATTCACCACCATCTATACATACCGATTGACACCGCATTGCCTGCTCCAATCAACAATCACCACTACAACATCGTCTTCAATCACATATCCAATATAAACAACACAAATAACCAAGCCCATCCTCGATCAATCAAGGAAAACGCATAACCTAAACCACCAACTGCCACTTCCAAGCTCCACTACCACAATCACCTAGGTTGTTGTGTTAGCTTGAAAATTAAAAGATCCGTTCAATATTTCATACCAGTACCCATATCGTGTCATGTCGACACGGGTGTGTCGGTCGGAATACCAAGTATGAGCATTACAAGAGCTAACAACATGCTTTTAGTCCTTTTAGCACGTCCATATTCGACACGTGTTGATACTGATACTCCTAGGACATTCTACTATAAACACTTTTCTTTTTTATTAAATATATTATATATTTTTAATTCAAAGTTATTAGTGAATAACAAATAGGTACTTATATTTAAAGATTTCAATAAGAAAAATTAATAACGAATATAAAACTAAATTTATACTATATAAATGAAGAATTTAAAAAAAAATTTAATTAACGAGTTGGGGATGTCTTGTATCAGTACTTTTTTGGAAAAATTGTCGACACACATCGTGTTGAACACGTGTGTTCGTGTCGATACATCATAGCTTTTAGTTAATTAAATATGATAATAACCTTACATGCTAATTAGAGATGATGTTAGTACACATGGATAAAAATTTGAGTTGTCGATGACATTTGTTGGATTCTCTAGTGCTTTAAGTACATCAAAGTTAGTTTAGCAATGTTGTTAATTTAGACAGTAGGTCTAAGAGTAAGCCTGGGCAAGGTTTGGTTTTGATTGGTTTCGGTTTTCAACTCCAACCCGAAACCAAAATCAAATTAATCGATTTGAGTGATTTCAATCCAAGTTAATCCACTTCAGCTCTTAAACCAAACCATTCGGTTCGGTTAGTTAGTTTGGACTTTTTAGTCCAAATTGAATTTTTTTTTTATTTTTTATTTTTTTTTTAAATTGTCCGAGTTTTATGCTCGTTTATACTACAAGAACTAATATAATTAAATAACTTTATATTATAAGAGTTATTGATTAACAAATAAAATCAGGTTAATAAGCACATATCAACAAAAAACTTTAAGTATTTTGTTGCTTTTTTATAATTTTATCCAGGGCCTATCTAAGATTGATAACTGGCAACATGCTTGCTTTAATGCATCTTCATTCACCATAATGAGAGTTATCTTTTTGTTTCTTTGTGAACTAGGTCGTTCATTGAAAAGTGAGTTGAAGATATGGAAAGATTCCAATTGTATGGAGATTATTTTCCTCAGTTATAAAACAATCTTTTCTTTTAGAGTTACTTATAGCTTTATAAATAGGGTCTTCTACTTTGTAATTGGTACACAATTTTATTATAAATAACTTATAATATTTTAGCATGGCATTGGAGCGGGTTTATTTTGATTTTCGGTTGAAAATGTAAACTTTTGAGCAGCCTCATGCCTTTCGTCCAATCAAATTTTCTTATTTTGTTTAAATATGCTCTTCTAGCCAAATTCTTTTACTTTCTTTTATATATCCTGTCTGGGTAAGTCTTCTTTTGTTTTTAATTTAATCTGAATTTTAGTTTCGAATTAATTTTAATCTCATTGGTTACGACGGCTGTGTATTTGTTAAGTCCTTTCCTTGATTTGGAGGACTTGTTGCTAAATTTGTGTGGGTTCTCGTTCTTTCACATAATCAATTGATGTTGGTTTGAAGCTATATAGATTTGTGCTTTGATTGATGCCGGATACAATAGAAGAATCGTAGGAGAAGGGGAGATGGTAAAGAAGAAGAGAAAGGAGAGATGAAGAGGGGGAAGAGGAAGAGGGAAATAAGGGAGAAAATATCAAATTTTATTCATTCAAAGGTTGTTTTGTTACATCTCCATAGTCCCCTTTCTATAGGGTTTCAAAAATCATAACTAAGTAAAGAAATGCCATAAAAGTTAATTAAATCACACTCTAATCATGTTTCCTAAAATACGAATTAAAATAGGAAACTAATTAAATAATTTATCTCTATAATATTGCATCATTGATATAATCAATCTTTTTTTATTAACAAAATCAAACTTCTGGTAGAGATTTTCTACCTTTGTTGTGCCAAAAAATTTTTAGTGAATATTTTATCTGGTTCCCAATTAAGAATCAATTCTTGGTGGACCAATTCTTTGATTCTTAGTGGTCCCTTCATTGTCCAGTTGGAGCAGCTATTTTTGTCTATTTTCAAGTGATGAAGCGGAAGCATTCTGTTGGTGCCTTAATTGTATTTCACAGCTACCACGTGTACAGTTTGGTTGAGAACTAGGGGAGACATTGTCGATTAATTCTTAGCCCATGTTTGAACCACATTTTATGAAAAAAATGCATTAGTCATGTCAAATCAATGGGAAATGTGTGGTTAAAAAATAAGGAAAAGTTTTAGATTTGTGTGTAATATTATTTTATTGAAGAATGTGTGGTTAAAATGATACCAAATCACTGTTGAAAAATGTATTTTTTTTGAAAATAATGTGGCTCAAACAAGCCCTTAGCCTTTTGCACAAAATTAATTTCTTTGGTGTTTAATTGTGAATCAATATTTTTCGATGTACAATTGTAATTCTGGTGGTGGAATTGTTTAATATTTAGTGTAGAAATATAGATTCCAAGGACCTGGTGTTCGTGAGTTTCAACTGCTATTTTGTTCTCAAGCTAAATCTGCTCCTTTCTCTCTTTTTGGCAAAATCACATTATTTTTCCATTGAAGATATTTCCATCACCTTGTCTTTAACATCCTTGTGTGCCAGTTTCCTGTTTGATTAGTCTTTCTCTTCTTTATCCTTGAGTGGATTACTATCCATGTTTCGAAGTGATATTGTTAAACTTGGTTACTAGTTATTAAAACAATTTGAGGTTCTTGTTTTAGCCTTGTATGTTATACTTGTGGGTACATTGTTAATCTTGGTGATGGTTTGGTTAGATTGGTGGATGCTGATTTTCTTTCATACCAGCTTTGAGTTCTTTGTTTGGCTTGGTTGGCATTCAAGTAATTCTGAAGTATCCTTTGACCATTGGAAGATGGTGACTTGATTCGATCATTTTACTTTCAAACTCAATTTGGTTGTCACTACACCACGTTGAGTTTATGGGGTATGTTGAAAATATGAAAAGATTATAAAAATTATCTCTATAATATTTTTTAACTGTGTGAGATTATTTTCTCTAATAGTTGGTTGTGTGATTATCACACAATCGTTCCTTTTATAGTTACTTGTAGTACTAAAGTCTTCTACTTTGTAATAGGCGCACAGATTTATTATATATAATTTATAATATTCTAAATTAAGTGTTGTCTTAAAACCTCAATTTGGCTCTCTTTATTAGTGGATACTGACAGATTGGACCTTCTATAACCTTCCATCTTTTTTTTTTTATTTTTTTATTTTTTTATTTTTTTATTTTATAAAATTTACATTTAAAAGTTTTTATTTATCAAAAAATGAGGAGATTTTAATGTATATTTTCGAGTTGGAACTCTTGGAATAATTTATTTGCTTTTGCAAAAGTTAATTGTTATATTTTATAGTTCTATGTTGTCTTGGTACCATGATGATGCTTCCCTTTTTTTCTCTCTTTGGATATATCTTCTTTTTTATACTTTAAGATAAGGAGACACCTTCTTAATTCTTCTTTACATGGCAGAGACTGAGTGGACCTACAGGAATGATAATGGACTGGCAAGGAGCACCGGCAAGTCCGAGTTCATACACTGTAAAACGAATTGTTCGCCTAGAAATTCCTGTTGAGAATTATCCAAATGTAAGATTGTTTGTTGTTCTACTTTTCTAGGAATGTTCAGTTCATTTTCATTTCTTAAATCTATAGTGCTTCTCATTCCATTATTATCTAAATTACTACTTCGTGGATTCTTAGTTCAATTTTGTTGGGCGGCTTTTGGGTCCTAGAGGAAATTCACTTAAACGAGTGGAAGCCACTACAGGATGCCGCGTGTATATTAGAGGAGAAGGTTCAATAAAGGACCCAGACAAGGTAATGCAAGGGATCTCACCATACTGTGATGCATTTTTGTGGTGTTCATTATTACTTATGAAGACTCATTATGAAGTAGCTATATAGTTGATTGAAAACCTGCGAATGATGCACACAACGAAAGGGTCAAGAAAAAAGTAAGCAGCTAACACTGCTGCTTCTTTTAATGCCTGTTCCTGAGAAACATGAAAGCAGAAATCATAATCTCTACCATGAAAACAATGACATCATAACTTAATTTAGCATGTTGCGTATAAATTGAATCATGTAGAAAATTTCAGAATACCTCAAGATATTATTTGTTCATTTCCTCCCAAAAAGTAAAGAGGGGTAATTTGGAGTTCTATTCACGAAAGAAGGCTCCTTTGATTTTACTTTTATAGCCTGAAACTCAAATAGGCAATTCCACATTAGAGCTGTCATTGATCTGATTTTCAAAATATAGTATCCTACTAGGTTTCCATCCTTTGGGATCTAGAAATCTTGTAATTCAAAATCGAGTTTTTTAAAGCTTTTCCTTGTGATCCTGTGATAAATTTAAACCTTCAAGTTAATGATGAAAGGATTATGGGACCAATTCTTAGATTTCTTGTTTACTTTTTGCTCTTTAACTTTTGGCAACTTCTTTGAATGGCTATGCTATGATACATGCTTTTGCAATGATTCCCAGCAGCCAAACATTATAATTGTAAACCTCAATGGAAAGGAAAAAGGGCAAGCTTGTATTCAAGGTTAACTTTATTCTCAATAATCTTAAGAGCTAGCTATATGAATTTTTTGCTGTAACTTTGTTTAACCCGAATTGCTCACAAACTCAAGGCTTAAATTCTTTGTTCCTCTAAATTATTATTAATTGGTAATCTTAATATAGGCTTCAAAATCTAGCTGAAGCGCCTATTATGTAGACATAATTTGAGTTGGTACTGCATCATTCATTTTCGTGATTCATATTCACAGCCACTTATTTTTCTCTGCAATACTCTGTATTTTATTTCTATTTGTGCCTGTCAATGTTAAGGAAGAGAAGCTACGGGGACAACCAGGTTATGAGCATTTGAATGAACCTCTCCACATCTTGATTGAGGCTGATTTACCTGCTAATGTTGTTGATATCAGACTGAGGCAAGCTCAAGAGATAATAGAAGAACTGCTCAAACCTGTGGTATTAATCTCAGACAAATCTTTTTGTGATCTTTGAAAAATCAGACAATTTTGTTTCTTTGACGTTCTCATGACCCTCTTTTTTTGTGTCAACTCCATGGTTTTGTCTCCAAAAAAATTATAATAAAATGAACTTCAAGGAAGCTCCATTGAGATACTTGAATCATGCCTCAATATTTTGCGTGAACTAATATAAATACAAGAACTTTCTAGTCTCATATCAAAATAACTTTAGCCCTTCACTTCCCAAGTAAAGACAGAGGGACAGTAATCTGTTAAACTGAACTGCACAAGCTGAAATGTTCACCGAATCATTCATGCTAAGAATTATCTGTTGGATGTTTGGAGCCTAATTTAATCTACACTTTCCCCTCGGCCACGGTTTGCACATGTATTTGGTCGGCCTAATATTTCCCGGTATCAAGGTGAGCGTCCAATCTGTGTATCAATAGTAGAGAGAAGAAAGAGTTGAGAGTCCAAAACACATTATAATTCTCTTCTTCGATATAATACAAAGCTCTCAGATGGAGGGTGAAGCATGTTATATCACATGTTGTTATTGCTTTTATTTTATTATTTCATGTTATTAATTGCTCTTGGTAATATGAAATATTAGTTTTATCCCATCACATTATCTATTGGTATCTTGAACTTTTCATGTTCTCATCCTCATTTTTGTGCAGGATGAGTCGCAGGATTTTATAAAGAGACAACAATTGAGGGAACTAGCCCTCCTAAATTCAAATTTCAGAGAAGAGAGTCCTGGACCAGGTGTCAGCATCTCACCTTTCAATACCAATGGAATGAAACGTGCAAAAACAGGACGTTAAGAGATCAAAATCTGTCTGCCGTCTGAAGAATTTCAAGAATCATAATTGAGTATACCTTCCAAAAGACCTCATATCTGCGTTCCTAGCTAATTGAAAATCTAAGAAATAGGAATACAAGCCCATAAGGTTGAGCTCTTTTGTTGGGTTTCTGTTGTTTTGTCTTAATTAACTGAAAACAGAAGGGAGGGGGGAAAACACAAACAAACAGTGTCTATAGGTGGTTTTAGATTAATTCTTGTCAATGTTGGTTATTTATACCCAATCATTGGATTTATTCTTGTGTGATTAAATTTTAGTGTGAGTTATGTTATTTTTGGTCCTATGCATCGGGAAACTGGCTTGATTTTGTGGGTGTCTTTCTGTTGTGATATCTTCTTTATCATTTAAAGAGCGCACTACAAATGGACTATTATGTTTTTAGTTGGCTGATTCTGTTAAAAGTGTGTGGATTTATTGTCGTGGGATGTTTTATCTGATTATGCAGTGTAGTTGGCTTTCAGCCATTGTGAGTTCCTGTAAAGTGAAGGATTTTGATGCTTTGCTTAAGGTTCTGTCCCTCTGCCTTGCTTGTTCATTCACATTTCTATCGAGTCCGTTCACAACAACATCGCCTGATTTTGCATGCGGTTCATCCGCACCATCGATGGTAACTTGAGCCCTATGATGTCGTTGAAGTGGTTGTGGCCTTTCACGAATGGTATCAGTTTGTTGACAGTCGAATTTTGGCAAGGTCGCCAGAAGAACGAGTTTATAGAATAATATTGACCTTCTATAATTTGGGATGGTTGATTTTGGGAATTACATGGAAATGACCTAAATAAAGAGGTCATTTTTTCAAAATAACCTTTGACTAATTTAGATACCTAAAATACCCCTTCTTTTGATTATTTCATAACAAGTTAATATAATATAAAAATCTTGTATTTTAGTCCTTAAAATTAAATATTACTTGATTTTTGATAGATTTATTTGATTTTTTTTTTTGTTTATAGATTTATTTGATTTTTGTTCGTTCTGAGTAGCACCCCCTAATTGGTATCAGAGCCATAGAGATAATGTAAATTAAAATGAGAAAAATAGATAATTATTATAAATTAGAAGAAGGAAGAGGAAGTTATATATTTTTAAAATTTATTTCTAATAAATTAAAAATAATGACATTAACAATAGTTAAAGATTTACCTAAAGAGATAAAAGAATAAATATTAGAAAAATTAATAATAGGATTGATAAAATAAATATATATGTATGAAAAATATGTATGAAAAAATTATTAAAGAATATGAAGATGAAGAGATTAATTTATATTATAAAGAGAAGTATGAATAATAATACAGATTTGAAATTGAATAAGTTACTTTTAAAAATGGAAAAAATACAAGATATAATGTTAATACAAGAAGGAATAAGAGTATAAAATAAAAGACAATTAATAAAATTAAAATGTGAAAGATTAAGACTTGAGAGTAAATATTTTTATACTGTAAAAGAAGAATTGGTAAATACAGATATAGTTAATAGAAGATTTGAAATAATAATAGAAAAAAAAGAAGATAAAAGATGTAAATTGACTTATATGTTAGAAAAAGGACCAGAAAAATTTAATATGTCAATAAGTGAATATATAGAAGGATTAAAATCATTAATAAAAATGTTAATAAATGATATATAAGACTTAAGAAATGAAGTAAGAAAAACAAGAAATGATATAAATATATTAAAAATTGAAATTAGAGAAATAAAAGAAAATAATAAAAACAAAGAAAAGAAAATAGATAAAAAATTAATAGACAAAGAAATGATTCGAATAGGAAAAAAAACATATTGAGAAGGAGAATATAGTAATAGAAACAAGAAGTATGGATGATGAATTTAGAAGGAATATATTACCAAAAATATTAGAAGAGGAAGAAGAATATAGAGAAAAAATATTAGGAAAATTAAAAGTAGAAGAAAATGAAGATAAAGATTAGATTCACTAATAGAAAATCTTTATCAATTAATTCTAACTAATATAAGTAAACAAGGAGGACCTAATCCAATAAGAACTTCTAAACAAGATTTAGATGAAAGTTATGCACCTATTTATAATAAACATATAGACAATTTTATAATAAAGTAAGAGATAGACAATCACCTAAATGAAATAAATATAAAGACATGTTTGAATTAAATGATAATTATGATAAACCTATTAATCATGGGAGGAACAAAATTAGATTTAAATTGCAAAATAGATACTAAAAAAACCTTATTAACTTGGGCATATTTAATGATATTTTTCTTTTTATATAATAAAGATGACACATGAGAAAATATTGAAAGAAAAATAGATTTTTTAATAGCATCATTTGAAGGATATATTAGAAATTTGTGGGAATGAATAAGTAATGATACAAAAACATTAATAAAAATAAATATACAAACAGAAATAATAAAATCAGATAGACAAAGTATATAAAAGTTAGTACAATATATTTCAGATGAATTTTTAGGAGAAAATTGGATAAGAAATGTTGAAAGAGAAGAAGTAAGAGAAAAAGACAATACTAGAATTAAACTAATAAATTTAAAAATATGTGATATGTGTAAAATTAAAGAATATACTTGTGAATTTAGAAATTATTATTATGTTTAATTTTACAATAATGAAAATCAAGAAGTATACCGAGATATATACTATAATAAATTACCAGGCTTGTGGGGAATATATTTTAAAATAGAATTTGAAAAATATGTTAGAGACAATGCTGGAATATTTAGAACTTTAAGTTTAAGAATAAAAATTTTATTTGAAAAACTTACATATATATGTCAATAAAGACAATTATTGAAAAAATCAGGAAAATTAACTAGAATATATTGTGAAGGTATGAAAAATCCTACACAGTAGGGATGTAATCCTGAAAGAAAGATTAATAAAAGAAAATAAAAAATTTTAAAAAATTTAGAAATTTTAATAAAAAATATATAAATCCTAGAAGAAAAATTATAAAAGAAAAAAATATTTCATATGGTCGACAGAAAAATAAAAGTTATTAAGAAAAATAAAAGCTAATGTAAATGTTGGAATTGTGGAGAAATCTGTCATACAAGCCCTGATTGTGATAAAAAGAAAATTAAAATATTATAAAAAAAAATATTTGAAAATAAAAGATGAATTAAGTGAAATATCAGATATTGAAGAACATTATAATCAAGAAGTTCATATAAGTGAAACAGAGGATGATGAATCTGAATCTGAATAAGAAAATAGAAGAAATAGAAAGTAATAATATAAATATACAAAAATATGAAGGAATAGAAGGATATGGATTAAAAGTTATCTTTGATAGCAATAAATCTAGAAAATTACAAAAATTATCTTTAGATTTAAAAATAGGGAAATGGGAAGTCTTAAATAAAATTTGGAAAAGAGAAATAATAGCAATAAATGAATATCACAAAATAGAAAAAAATTATAGATGTAAGAACAACATATGGACAACATAATTAAATCTTTTAGCAAAAAATACGGTTGGAGAACTATTAACAAATGTTAGTAAAAAAATGCAATATGTTTATTTAGTAGGAATACAAATAATGTTTAAATCATTATTTAGAGAAGGGATAGACTCACACTTAACTATAACCTTACATGATGAAAGAATCATAAATTTAAAAGATAGTCATTTAGGAACAATACAAAGACATCTGACATATCAAAAAATAATGTTTACATGTTACCCAAAATATTGTGTATCATTGAAAAATAGAAATTTTATGAAATTTTAGGATTACATTTTAAACTGTATAGGGATGATATCATGCAACTAGGTGATCAAATTATAACTATAGAGTCTAGAGTTTTATACACATTTACCAATTCTAATTATGGAAATATTTATTCCAATAAGTCATATATTGAAGTACATGAAGAATGTAAGGATATTAGTAAAATAATAGAACAAAATAAACAAATAAGTTTAATTTCGGAAGAATATGAATTTAGTATAACAATAAATAAACATGAAATAACAGAATTAAATGAATGAGAATGTTATAATAATATAACATTTAAGGATGGAAAATTAATCAAAAAGTCTTAGAATAACTAATAAAAATCAGTTAGAAGAATTTACTAATATAAAAAAAGTAAAACTATATAGGAATACTGGAAATTTGAAAATAGAAGGAGAATATTATAATGGAAAAAAAAATATAAATGGACCAAATATATTAATAGATACAGGAGTTAGTGAATGTCACATAGCTTCAATAAGAAGTAAAGCATTAATAACTCGTAAAACTGATCTATATAGATATGTAAATTTTAATGGACGGGTACATATTACAGATTTGGAAGTCAAAGTACCAATAAAAATAAGAGAAATAAATCTTTTAATACTGTGTTATATAGATAAAAATATGAATATAAACCCCCACATACTTTTAGAAATGAGTTTTCTATATGGATTAGAAGATTGTAATACAAAAAGAGAAGGATTATATATAGTCCATAATGGACAAACTATATTATGTAAAAAGAATTAAATGAATAATCAAATAAATTTTTCATTTGTTGTATATATATAAATTATTATTATAGAAAAAAATATAACAACTTGTGCTTTAATGGATATAGGAAGTGATATAACAATATTTAAATTTTTTTTGATAAAATGATGGAATGATAATAGTAACATAAAAATAACTGGAGTCATAGGAGAAAATACTCAGATAATAAATAGTGCCGATAAAGTTAGTATAATTCTTGGAAGTAAACAAGTTACAATAAATAAAATTTATAAATATGATAAATTAAGGTGTGATATATTGTTAGGAAACGACTTTACACAACAATTTCAATATTATATACAAAATAATTATATGATAATGATACAAACATCTTGCGGATATTTATTAAAAATTCAAAGAGAATTTAAACCTTACAGAGTTCAGCCAGCCTAGCATGGTGATAAATGGGAGAAAAAACCAATCATATTTAATGAAATAAAAAATAAAAGAATATTGTATAAAAAAGTTTTGAAAACGGGAATAGAAATAAGTATAGAAAAAATTATTGAACAATTAGAAAAAGTTTATGCAGAAAATTCATTGTTATTTTGGAAACCACATCACCCAAAAGCCAAAATAGAATTGACAGAAAATGTCATAATAAGAGTCAGATCAATGATGTTTACTATACAAGATACATAAGAATTTAAAAATCAGATAAAAGAATTATTTAAACAGAAACTTATTAGATCTAGTAATGGACCTTATAGTAGTCTAGCCTTTATGGTTACAACACATTCTGAACAAATTAGAAGAAAAGCTAGAATAGTTATAAATTATAAAGAATTAAATAAATATATTAAATTTGATGGATACTTTTTACCAAATAAAGAAGTTTTAATAAACCTTACAAAAGGAAAACAATATTATTCCAAATTTGATTGTAAATCAGGATTTTGGCAAATAAAAATGGAAGAAGATAGTATATAATATACTGCATTTAGTACACCTCAAGGGAAATATGAATAGTTAGTAATGTCATTTGGATTAAAAAATTCAACACAAATATATTTTCAAAAATGGATAATATATTCAAAAAGTTTAATGAATTTCTAATTGTTTATATAGATGATATATTAATATGTTCTAGCATTAAAGAAGACCACAGAAACCATTTAATCCAATTCATAAATGAATGTGAAAAAGAAGGAATCGTACTTTCTAAAAATTAATCTATAATAGAAAAACAAGAAATAGATTTTCGTGGATTGTCAATATATAAAAGATGAATAAAATTGCAGACTCATATATCTAAAAAAATAGAAAGTTTTCGAGATAAATTAGAATCTAAAAAATAAACACAAAATTTTTTAGGATGCTTAAATTATGTAGAAGGATTTATTGAAAATCGGGATTTATTGAAAATCTTTCTAAGAAAAGACATAGAATACAAATTTTACTTAGAAAAATAAATACTAAAGGATGAAATGAAGAACATGCAGAAATAGTTAAATCATTAAAAGAAGAATGTAAAAATTTACTAAAATTAAGATTAACAGATGAAAAAGATTATTTAGTTGTTAATACTAATGCCTCAGATAAATATTGGGCAATAATATTAAAAACAGATTTAAATGAGATTTGTAGATATTCAAGTGGAATTTTTAATTGAGCAGAAATAAATTATATTACTCATGAGAGAGAATTGCTAGAAATTATTAGAGGGATAAAAAAGTTTTCGTTATTCTTACTATTCAAGAAATTTACTGTTGAGACTGATAATTCTCAAGTTGTAAGATTAGTCATGAATAAACTACCATCAGAAGCTCAATACAGAAGGCTCCATAGATGACAAGCTTATTTAACACTTTATAATTTTGATATAGTTCATATTAAAGGAGTTAATAATTTTCTTACAGATTTTCTCAGTAGAAATATAGAATTTGCTGATGGATAAAGCTAAAGTCATGGAGTTATATCAATCTATCATATATATACAAAAAATGACAGATTTTCTTAAAAAAGAATATGAAGATATAAATATTGGAGCAACACAGATCTCAGAGATATTTAATTCAAATATAAAAATATTGTTGAATATCACTACTGAGCATCATAAAGAAGCCATAGAACTAAAAGATCAAGTTGATACTATTGCAGCACAACTAAAAGATATACTGCCTAAGACAGATATACTAAAGAGTTCAGAAATGAGTTTTCCAAATCAATACCAAACAGGGATAGTTGGAAGCAGCAATGAACCCAAACGTGATAATGTACCAATTGATAAAAAAGGAGATTCCACGTCTGTATCATCAACCAAAAAAGTGATGATACATAGAGATAAAAGAGATTCCAAAATTATCAGCATCATAAACCAAGACGATACAATCTCTTTAGATCCAAAAGAAGAAGAGTATGTCAAAATAGTCAGAATTGTTTATGAAATAAAATAAGTGATTCATATTTTATCTTTCTAGGAAATAATGTTTATCCCAAAATAACAGACATGGAACTTCATTTATAAAAATTATGGCAGATTATGGATTTATGGATTTGATATATCCAGGAAAAGATCTTATTGAAATTTCAAAATTTGACGACATATTTATAAAAGAAATATCCAGATTTGCCAAGGGACGAAGACTATATTTGAAATTTTATTCAATTAGTTCCGAATATGATGAAGTTGTTTACTATCTAGTTAAACACATAATTTCAATTGGATATGTTACAACCAATTTCCAAATAGACGTTACAGAGAATGATAGAAAAGTTACAATAGTGACAAAATCATGGATCGACATAGAAGAGCATTTGCAATTAAAGCCATATACAATATTGTTAAAAGTTTGTTTGATAAAAAATTTTCATACTTGTGCCAATATGAAAACTGGATGTTGGTATCAAATGGAGGACATGGAAAATTAGAAATCTTGAAGGACTATATTACAAAATTCGAAATACATCAATTTTTAGGATGTCCTACCACTATAAAAGAATCTTGCTAGCTAAAGGAGTGCCCCAACTCCATGTGAAGACATAAAAAAAAGATAGCAATAATAAAGAAAGACGCTCTTTGGATAAAAAGTTGGAAAAGCATGTGGAGATAATGAAAAAAGAGGACAATAATAGAAAAAATCAGATGATGCATGTGAAGATGTAGGTCCAAGGAGGATAATAATAGAAAGGCAAGTATACATTTGCTGATATACTGAATGATGTAATAAATCAATAATAGAGCCTCTTATATTTGTATAAATAGAGGCATTATAATAGAAAGAAATCATCTTGAAATCAAAGTATCTTCTCTCAAATTGTAAGCTCAATTTGTAGTGGAGAATCAACATTTCCTAAACCAATTTTTCTCGAAATCTCTTTGTACCAAATAGAAGTCTTGTATAAATTCTGATCGAAATAAAATTTTCATATTTTGATATCAATATGAGTTTCTAAATCTTTATTCCCATAAATTCTTGAAAGATCTAATAGAAAGTTTCCTTGTTATTTTAGCAAAAAGAAAGTTCTTCTTTAACAAAAGTCTAGAATTTTATTTTTTAGAATTGATACAGCGAGAGCAAGAAACTGAAATAGTAAAGATTCCGTGAATGCAGGAGACCGTTGAAGGAAGCAATTTACATATTCAGAACTCAAAGGTCACTCGATTCTAAGAATAAAGATCCAGATCAAATCTAAGGTAAAACTATTAAATTTTTGTTAAAGTTAGAATAAATCTTTTTAAATCTTAGATAATCAAAGGGATTAATTGCATGATTTGATGATTATTTGTATGATTAAATGTCAAGATACACAATTAAAGGATTAGATAATTTATTAGAAAAAATAAAAAATATTTATTCCCAATTAGAAAATATGGATGCATTTTCTGAAGAATATAATATATTAAATAATAAATGTGAACAATATGTTGCAGATTATTTCAATTTATTAGATCATAGAATGAAATTATATTTAAAAATTCAAAATAGAATATAGTTTAAAAAGATTGGGATATATGTTGCAATATAGAAATAATCATTTCATTAATGGCAATATAGAATTTTCTATGAAAAGGAATAGTAATAGGTTAAATAGAAAAATTCCCCGTTGATTTTTCGCCATATCGAAGCATACGATGCTCAAATTACCGAGAGCTTCCATATAAACTAGACTTGGAGAATATTTGATTGAAGTTTATGGCTTGTGGTATGTGCACATACTATGCCTTTGTAGACTTGGATTCATTTGCCGAGGCCTTGAAGATTATCTATAGTTGACATGCTTAACATAGGCCTATAGAACAAAAATAGTTTCTATGTCATTTTGTAGTTCACTACTATTGCATCTTCAATGCAATAATGTGCATTGTTATACATGTGGCAAGTAAAATGGAGTGAAAGCATCTCTAATGGGGTAGTGCACTGACTGACCACAGAATTTTGTTAAATAAGTGAAACATTTTAGCCGTCTATTCTTAAAATGGACAATAACGTTCTGATAAGGGACACACATCCTTAAAATCGACGTTCTTAAGACCAAAGATTGAGACACTTGACTACTTTTTTAAAAATAAAAGTAAGTGATTTCTTTATGCTATGCTGCTTGTTGAAGTGCAAACTAGTCCATTTGTTGTGAATAACTTCTTTCAAACGGACTTCTAGAGGATACAGAGAAAGAGTGAAGATGAATCATTTAAAAAAATAATAAATAAATAAATCCTCCACGAACAAAATAAATAAAAAATACTGATTGCGGGCTTCATGTATAAGAGATGACGTAGAGAAAAAGTGAAGGTGAATTATAAAAAAACTTAATCTATATATATCCTCCATGAATAAAAATTAAAATCGTTAAAATAAAAATCTCACCTTTTATTGCCATGATGTGGCATACTTTTAACGTAATTCACAACTTCATTGAAGATGCTTTTATTTATCTATTTTCATACTTTATTCTCTGGATAAAGGTAAAGTTGATTTCGTCATTTTTAGGAATCACTTTGAAATAAGTTACTATTTGATGAAAAATTAAGCACGAGTACAAAATTTGTCAATCCAAATTGAATGGGTTTTCATTTTCGAGTCCCAATTTTATAGATGTCATTGGCTTAGATTCTTAGTTTGGATATTTGAAGGCTAAAATGGTTTGATTATATGCTTGTATGATATATTTTGCAAAGAATAGAGCTGCAATGTCAGATGCCATGTCTCCAACAATAACATAGTACCATGGACGGATCCACATGGGGTCAACTGAGTATGATATAACCAAATTGTGTAAAATATGCGAAAACTAAATCCTCACATGCAAATCTAAATCTAAACTTAAAGGGATGTATTTAATTGAAATTTTTAAAGAATTATTAGGACTTCAAAAGTTTAGAAGTATTCAATGTAAATTCTCTCTCTCTCTCTCTCTCTCTAGAATTGTATCAATTTGTTGAAGGTCATTTAAGTGGTTGGGGCCTTTCACAAATGGTATAAGTTTGGTGATAGTCGAATTTTGGCAAGGTCGCATGATGAACGAGTTTATAGAATAATATTGACCTTCTATACTTTGGGATGGTTGTTTTTTCACCATACAATCAAGGGCGGAGCCAGGATTGACATTTAGTGCTGGTGCAATTTCGTCCACGCCTAACATCAAGTTTTTAGTCATGAATGTAATGATGATAAAAATATAAAACAATATTACGACAATACTAAAAATGACCTTCAAAGCCACCCGGCCTTTCCGCCATCCATAATAGAAAATTCAATCAATAGAAATCGTATTCATTTTCTTTGAAATAATCTCTTCATTCCATCTATGTATTTAAACATTATATCTATTAAGATTTAAGAATGCTTTCAATTCACGGTGCAATTCAAATAGCAATAATTCTTGGAAAATCTAGAATCAATTCACAAAGTAAGCAATTAGCAACTCATAGTCACAGAATTACAAAATGTTTTCATAGTCACAGAGAGGTAGCATTAGCATTTAGCAATATGGAATGGAAGCACGCTTCAGTCATAGAGACGGAGTAAGCAAACTCACAGTCACACTCCTAGTCACAGAATGCATCGAGACTTCAGCAAAGTTCAAGACTCATCGAATTAGGCTCGAGGGCTTCACAAGCTTGGGGCTTCTAGGCCTAATTTCAAAAGCAATTCAATACCAATTCAAAACTTCAAGCAATTCAAAAGTAATTTCATATGTTAAAAAGAAGAAATTACAACAGTACACAAAACACAAAGCAAAATAAGTAACTAACAGAAAAAAAGTTAAGAAGACTTGAGTGCGGTTTAGGAATCAGAATCAAGGAGCTTTACCTTCTTCTTCTGCCGTCGAATTGTTGGTGCAAATGTAGATTCGAAGGACTGCTGCCGGCTGCCGCGTCTCGAGAAGTTCAAGGGCTTGAAGGTGCTACCTGACTTACGTCTAGGGTTCGCATTGTGGAATCTTCCTTGAGCGGCAGATTGAAAAGTACAAAGTCGAGGCCGACGGAGACAGGAGAGTGGAAGTGGAACTTGGGAACAATGAATCAGGAATATTGAATGGGTTGAAAATTGAATTGGAATGAAATGTATTGGGTTAATGAATCATGAATGGTATTGGAAATTTGGGCTTCTTCAATTTTGGTTTTGGACATTACCAATGTGTGGGCTCTAGCTTAAAAAAAAAGGGGCTAGAATTTCGTTGTTCCCAGAATTTCAGTGTGGGCATATGCCTGCATTGATCCTGAATGGGCTACGCCCCTGCATACAATGCTCAAGTTATGGAGAGCTTTCATATATAACGTAAACTAGACTTGGAGAATATTTGGTTGAAGTTTATTGCTTGCGGTATATACACCTGCTGCACCTTTCTGTAGACTTGGATTCATTTGCCGAGGCCTTGAGGACTCTATAGTTGACATGCTTAACACAGGCTTATAGAACAGAAATAGTTTTAATGTTATTTTGTAGTTCACACTTCACTACTAGTGCGTCTTTAACGCAACAATGAGCATTGTTGTACATGTGGCAAGCAAAATAAAAAGAAGAGCATCTCTAATGGGGTAGTGCATTGACTGATTGTAGAATATTGCTCAAATTGTGGAACATTTTAGTTGTCTATTCTTAGATTGGACAATAAGGGTTTGATAAAGGACATTCACCCATTCTTATAATCGGCTTTCTTAGGATCAAAAATCGAGACATTTGATTACAATTTTTAAAGAAAAAGTAAGCAATTTTTCTATGTTATGCTTCTTGTTGAATTGCAAACTAGTTCATTCGTTGTGAATGGTTTCTTTCAAAAGGACTTCTACGTGATGTAGAGAAAGAGTGAAAATAAAATAAAATAAATGTATATATCCTCCATGAATAAAATAAACAAAAATATTGATGGTGGGCTTCATCGACAAGAGATGACGTAGAGAAAGAACCAAGGTGAATTATGATAAAATTAAATCTATATATATTCTCCATGAATAAAAATTAAAAATTATTTTTTTTTTTTTTAAAAAAAAGCTCACTTTTTATTGCCATGATGTGGCATACTTTCAACATAATCCACAACTTCATTGGAGATGCTTTTATTTATCCAGTTTCCGTACTTTGTTCTCTAGATAAGGATAAAGTTGATTTCGTCATTTTTAAGAATCACTCTCAAATAACTTATTATTTGATGAAAAAATGGAGTACGAGTACAAAATTTGTCAATCCAAATTGAATGGATTTTCATTTTCAAGTCCCAATTTTATGGATGTCATTCCCCACTCCCCCATCTTGAAAAAAAAATTTCTTCTTCTTTCTATCTCACATTTCTCTACTATGAAAAGATCGTGTATGAGAACTTTTTAATTGATGATAATTTATGAAAGATTACTATTTTTTGTTGAATATTGAGTGTGATTTTTTATTGAACTTATTTTTTCTTATTGAAGCTATATATTGTTTACTATTTTATAGATGTGTTGGAAATTATCATGGTAATTTACGATTTCTAGTATGCATACTGGAACAACTTCGTCTTTCAAGTTCTGTACCCTATTCATTTTTCTTGGGAAAAGCTGTGTGTTTTCTATATATACCTGCAAATCCTAGCCAAGACATGTGAGGATAGTATCCCATAAATTTTTCTTTTGTGTCTGCATGGTCAATGAGAATTCTGGGGGTATGAAATTAATTGCCTTGTGGTCATGTATGTGTATATCTGTGTGTTTGTATTTCACAAGGTTGTGGCCTTTTGAAATAATTCATGATTACGACTTTGATTATTTAACACTATATATTTTTTGTCCTCTCCCACTCTCGCATTTTGTTGAATATTGTGTGTATTTTTTATTGAAACTCTGTTATAATATTCAATGTTTAACAAACAATTGAACAAGGATTCGATCATTTTCTGTGATTTATTAATGTGCATATGTGTAAGAATGAGTCGTTAAAGAAGAAGTAAAAATTTGTGGCTTATGTTAAACATATTTATAAATTTTACCCAGAATCTATAAAATCCATGAAAATCTTTTAAAATCTACAAAATAGAAATCCATTCAAATCTTATGAAATTTATTAAATTCTATCAAATTTCACACATTCCTCGAGAATTTATAAATATTAAGAAATCTATTAAATTCTGAAATGGGGACACCCCTGTTAGTTTTTTATCCCACTAATGAATATGTGGCTCCGTCCCACATAGTACTAAAATCACAATCAAATTTGGGAACATATTAAAGATTGGCTGGGAATAAAAAGGTCAACGACGACAATACTTAGTGCATAGAAGTGGATGAAAAAAAAAGCGCGAGATACATCTTGGCAAGCTAAGGCCAAGAGAAATGCATGGTCTATCATATTTGGATGGCGCGGAATAGAATGATTTCTAAAACCATGTGTTCATAGCATTGTAAGGCAGATTAAAACACGTGTATACAAAATTATGTCCTCTGTATATACTAATATTTTGGTTCATTTTGAGTCTCAAGCAGTAGATGTATACATCTTTTTCGCTTGTATGTATTTTGCTTTGTCCGAGTATACTCGGTGCACTTGTATATACTTGATCTTGTTTGACCGATTACGCTCCGTGTACTTGTAAATAATTTTTGATCGAGTTTAGAGGAAAAAGAAAAAAGAAAAAGAAAAAGAAAAAGGTGACAATCACGTTTTCACTGTCCGTCTGCTGTGCTCTTTTACCAATTAGGTTTTAGATTCCATTTGAAGAATCTGTCCTCGTGCATTTTGTCTATTACAGATCTGATTCCTTGTTATTTCCTCCTCCCGGCACAACAACACGGTATATTTCTTGATGATGTTCAATGCATTTCCATTTTCGATTATTTCAGATTCTTGATTCTTTCTTCTTACAAATTGTTTCTGTAAATATGTGTGTTTACCCAAAAAAATAAAAATAAAAATGCATCTTTCTTAAGTTTCATTATGGGTGTTTGATTTTAGAGGAATTTATTCGGCTTATTTACGATGTTTACAAAATCACATTGGTTAATAGGCTGATAGAAGCCAGAGATCTTTTATTCTTTACTTTTTATCTTCGCCAGAAAATATGGCGACTATGACCCGGCTCCGCTACTCTCCACTTACCGGCCATTATCGCCATTTCACTCACACTCGTCATTTGATCAATTTCGCCCCCAGATTTGCTGGTAATACTTCCCCCAGCACCATTTCCCTTTGCACTGAAACTAAACCGTTAACCGATTCGACAGTCAAAGGTTATATCGCCTGTGCTGGTGGTGGTGGTGGGGTTGGACGTGGTGGTAGTGGTGGATATAGTGGTAATGGAGGTTGGAGTAATGGTGGAGACTCTGAAGAATCCAAGTCTTCGTTGGATGGTTTCGGACCAATTGGGGCTTTTCTACATGGATGGAGGTCGAGGGTTGCGGCAGATCCGCAATTCCCTTTTAAGGTTCTCATGGAGGAGTTGGTTGGTGTTAGTTCTTGCGTTCTTGGTGACATGGCATCACGTCCCAATTTCGGTCTGAATGAGCTTGATTTCGTGTTTTCAACTCTAGTTGTTGGTTCCATTATGAATTTTGTTCTCATGTATCTCTTGGCTCCAACTATGTCTTCGAGTCAGAGTCTTCCAGCAATCCTCGCAAATTCTCCTACAAGCCACATGTTCGAACCAGGCGCCTATAGTCTGTTGAACAGGCTTGGTACATTTGTATACAAAGGGACTCTGTTTGCTGCCGTTGGATTTGCTGCTGGACTTTTTGGAACTGCTCTTTCGAATGGATTGATAATGACGAGGAAGAAGATGGATCCAAATTTCAAGACACCAAATAAGCCTCCACCTACAGTTTTGAATGCTATTACTTGGGCAATTCACATGGGCCTTAGCAGTAATTTTAGATACCAGACTTTGAATGGTATTGAGTTTTTGCTAGCCAAGGGAGTTCCGCCAGTGGTATTTAAGTCATCAGTTGTGGTTTTAAGATGCTTGAACAATATAATTGGAGGGATGTCATTTGTGATATTAGCAAGGTTGACGGGATCACAGAGCGTTGATCAAAATAAGGCATGTACTGTCAATGAAGGATCAGCCGAAGAGGGAGATAATCTGGTGAATGAGGCTGCTGAATTGCAAACTAGCGAGGCTACGTCCAAGTAATCTCCCCTTTGTTCTATCTTTTAATCTTTAATAAAAAGAATTTGCTTGCGTTTTGAATGAGAAAAGACAGTATATGTTGTCATTATGTTTTCCATAAACCTATGAATTCGTACTTGGGTTTGAATTCTTGTGTTGATGGGACCAGACGATTAACTGGTCTCAATCTGCTATTTTAGTCAATGTGAAAGACGAACATTAAGCTTATTTCTTGCACATTATCAGAAAAATCTTAGGGAAAATTGTAGCTGCGGTACAAATCTTTTACTTTTATGTAGACTTGATCTAACCCTTTACTTTGTGACACTTACGGTACCAATTCTTTCAAAAATTAGCACTCGAAGTCCAAATAGATGGAAACCTTCCGTTTGATTGTTAGTTGACCCCCCAAAAAAATGAATCTGGACTTCTTTTACCAATTAGGTAAGGGTAAAATTGTCTATTTCTCACCCCCGACCAATCACAACCAAATCCATGCCCTGCCCGAAACAAATTTAGCTCCACCATCTTTGCCATCACACATCGCCAACAACATGGTTGTGGACTCGACGTTATTCTCCTGCCCTCCCTCTCAAATACAACCCATCACAACAAATCTAAACTTTAAAATCAGTTACACATGGATGTACGAACTCAAAATCTCAAGACCCAGAAAAGGAATTAGATTCTGAAATTTATCTACATTATGGATTTCAGCACAAACTCAAACCAATTAACCAATTATTTTGAACTTGATTTTCTTTAAATCTAATTTCACATAATTGATTTTTTTCTGCAACGAGCTTGAATAGACCCAAGCAGTCCGAAAGAAAATGAAGTAGTAGAGGTGGAGGAGGTTTACCTAATGGGCTTGAACAGATGGGAGCTGCAGACGCAAACAATAAGTAGTGCGGTGGAGGAGAGGAAGGAAGGTTTGTGGAGGGGATGTGACTGCTGGCTTTTTTCAGTGTCAATGATGTTGCCAATGGCGCGGAAGGTGGCGGTTGTTCTTTGGATTTAGTTTTTGTATGGGTGGGAAGGGGGTAGGGTAGAGAATTGGGGGGAAGAAGAAAAAGGATATGTATGATTGCAATTCTTACGTGCTTGCTGGATAAGAGAAGGATCCATTTTGAAGTGTGTAATTGTTTGGCAGCATTAAGAGGAGTGTTAGTTAAGGGAGCAGTGGCAGTGGAGCTGTGGTGGAAGGCGATAGCGCCGGCCACTACTGCTAGTGGTTTCAATATAAGGGTGTTGGGAACGAAGAGGACAGTGGTGGGTGGGGTCTTATGGCCTTTTTAAAAAAAAAAAAAAAAAAAAATTAAATTTAATTATTAATATAATTGGTTTTTTTGTTGGAAAAATGTAAAATTGTCATTTTATCCTTTTAAAATTAGTCAAAATTATGGTGAAGGTAAATTATTTGGTCAACTAACTATCAAACTAATGGAATCCATCCATTTAGACTCTTGGTGATACTGCGGGTGCTACAAAGTAAAGGTTTGGATCAAGTTTACATAAAAGTGAAATGTTTGGTACTGACTACAATTTTCCCTAAATCTTATTGAAAAGCGAAGAGTATAGAGGTTTAAAGTTTTGGAGTCCGAGCAAATGGAGTGGGGAAATGCGAGTTTGAGAATGCTAGTAAGATGAAAAAATGACCCAAAACTACGAGGTAATAACATAAGTGTAAAATGGATTGGGCTGTCCAGGCTTTTGGACGACTTGACTTGCATTTGGTCCAGCTCAGGCTGACCATGTCATTGGCTGATCTGCCTGTAAAACTAGGTTGTGTAAGGCATTCTAAATTTATAAAAGCTAACGAGAATTTATTTCGAGCTAATAAGCCTAACATAATATGAGTAGAACCATATCCTTTAACAGCTAGATGATATTGAAATCACTGAATATCAGTTCTGAAGGGCAATGCCATTCAGGTTTCTTCAAATCAAAGTAGAAAGGACATGATGAAATTAAAATGACAGCAAGCTTTTTCTTTAACCCTGAGGCATTGCAAATGTTTTGAAGTACTTGAAAAGAAATACCATCTCTTTTTCACAATCCCTGATCAGGAGATCTCTTGATGGTCTATCCTTTGTTTCATCTTGAGAACTCCTGATGGCCAATGCCATAAATTTCTTGATACTCTCTGAAGGATATGGCTCCATACTCTCTTCTGTGATGGAAAACATCGTTCCAGATTGAAATGCCACATTAACCTGACAATTATTGAGATGATGGATTGGATATAATGAATAGCAACAAATTTTACATGGTGCGCTTGTAATGCATGTTCACAATTCATCCCATTAAGCAAGCGTATGATCATTAGGCAAAAATTTACACGAAACACGCTCTCTAGGATATATATGATAGCATAGTTATATCCTCTGGTTACTCTCTCACAGGGTTCCTTCCTTGAGATATAGGCTTCCTGTTCAGAGTTCAAAAAGTATTACACCAAGACTATAAACATCATTTTTCTCCAACATCTGGGTCCAAAAGTATTCTGGATCGAGATAACTCTGTTTGCAGCCTTTTCAATACAAATGGGATATAGGAAAAAAGATTGTGAAAAAAATAAGTTGTAAGAAAAACTAGTCAACCTGAATATGCCGGCATGAAAGTTTTCAGCATTATATAATAATAATAATAATAATAATAATAATAATAATAATAATAATAATGAAGTTTAAATTTTAACTAGAAATTAGACTGAAATTATAAGCTTAACTTCCAAATAAGTACTAATATTTAATACGGAAATAGGTAATTTGGTTAATTGTATATCACCAAGTTATTTAATTAGGTTTAGATTTGATAACGCTTTGGTTTTTCTCAAACCATTTAAAACGGTTCGGTATGAAAATCTGTGAAAAACCAGCTAAACAAGACTGCTTATGACAACTCTCTGCTTTTTATAGTCCAAAGCAAAGGAGGTTGTAGTAGCTTGACATCTATGATCATATTTTATTAAACTCACGACATGAATCCTATTACAGTTGCAACAAACGATTCTTGTAAACAACTCAGAATTTATTGGGAACGAGCCGTTTGGTAAGCAGCCATCACAATCTTCATTTTATCGACATTTTGATCTAGGAGATTTAATTTCACTCTTTGCCTATGAAATTCCAGTTTTTGGTGACCAAACTTGTAAAAGAAGGCTGAGATCTTACATGGATTACATTTTTGGATTTGTGTTGGGAGGGTGATGGATCTGCGGCAAAGAGGTGAATGATTCCGTTAAAGGTTGTTCAGTCGCACTCGAGGATGGACATAAGATTGAGCTTTGGTCAATGTTAAACGCCAAGGTAGGTATGTCTTTAGATGTTCCGCCAATTAGGCATCGAGACATCAGTAGAATTTCAAAGTAGGTTATTATGTTTTTGTTGCAGGCTGAATTATGTCCCACTAAATTGACATTTTCTTGCTGTGGTCATGACATGTATTAAAATTACATTTGCATTCACTGTACACAACTTCATTCAAGAATAGTTTGAAAACCTCTACTCCATGCCACCTCAAGAATTTTCCGACATACATTACCATGTAAAGACAAACAATTGTGTATGAAGAAAACGCGGACTGACAGATTGGTTGTGGTACCCATAATTCTAGACATCAAACATAAACCACCCTCTGACATTCCTAAAAACTTCTTTGACATTTTCTAATTATCGATGACACCCGACCCCACTGTGTAGGCTCAAATCCAAGTCCACACATCATGGCATGCAAGTATACCTTAAAATATATCAGATATCAAGAAAAGAAAATACTATTATCATTCTCAAGGCCGGCATTTACACCAAATAATGATGGAGACATCATCCCATCACTTGAAATTGAAAATTAAACAAGACACCTGTATTACGACCGATGTGGTCAGATAATACTAATCTCCATTTGCATCACCCGCCAAACCACAACTTGCGATTTTAATTTGAATTAACTTCATGCATCCATCGACATTAAGAGAAACCCTGAGAACAGTTAAATTTAACATGATAATACAGGAATTAAGAGGTCCAACTGCCAAATGAACAACTCCGTCACTCACAGATAGAACACTTTCCCATGTAATAAATACTTCAACTTATACAAGGATTCCAGGACGAAATATCAATATCAAAACCAAAATGTTCGAATAGTTGAATATAAGTGTAAGATACATAAAAATGACAACAACAACTCTGCGAATGATGGTAGATGTATGGTAGATGTAGAGAACCCTGGCTTACCACCGACAAATATTAGCGCCCTTTGGGGTTCATTATCTGTGAAAACACAGCACTTGGTGTCAACCCATCCGAGTCTGTACTGGCAAGACTCCGACCGCCAATGCTCATGGACATTCCACTACTTTTTGAATCTGTTATGTTGCCATCAAAACCCGGGGATGCATCTCGGTCTTTTCCTTTGCATGGGACGTCAAATGACCCCTCTTCAATGTCCATTCCTCCGAGACCTTTGCCACTTTCCTCAGCACTCTCCTGAAGCTGCAGAGCAAACTCAAGATTCCACAGCACATCACCCATGGAAGGCCTGTCGGTTCCGACATCAGAAACGCACTTCACTGCTGCCTCCGCAAATTTCTTAAAGCACTCGGGTGCAATCTTTCCCTTAAGGTATGGATCCATAATCTGATCAAGAATGCCCTTCTTATAGCAATGTTGAGCCCACTCGGCCAAGCTAACTTGTTCCTTGGGAAGTGTTGGATTTAAAGCTGGACGAGCACACAAGATCTCAAAAAGTACAACTCCATACGAGTAGACATCAGATTTTTCGGTCAATTGCTGTCTCCTGAAGTACTCAGGATCTAGATAACCAAAACTACCCTTCACCACTGTGCTGACATGGGTGTGATCCAGTGAAGGACCTGTTTTTGAAAGCCCAAAATCTGAAACCTTAGCCACCCACTTTTCATCCAAGAGGATGTTAGTAGTCTTGACATCACGATGGATAATAGTATGTTTGGCACCCGTGTGTAAATAGTGCAAACCTCGAGCAGCACCAATGCAAATCTCAAGCCTCTGCTTCCATGGCAACGGAGGCTTTTGGGTCTTGTACAGATGCTCACGAAGAGTTCCATGAGCCATGTAATCATATACAAGAATCATTTCGCAGTTCTCTTCACAATATCCAATCAGTGAAACAAGGTGGCGGTGGCGAAGTTTTGAGAGCATTTCGATCTCAGTTTGGAATTCATGCACTCCCTGTTCAGAGAGTGGGTTCCCACGCTTAATAGCCACTTTTGTGCCACCGTCAATCTCTCCTCGATAAACCTTACCAAAACCTCCAACCCCTAGGAGGAGAGCCTCATCGAAGTTATTAGTGGCAGTCTTGATTTCAGAAATCGAGAAGTGGCGGCAAAGGTTTGATGGGAGGGAGGAGGCATAGCTTCCCGTGGTGTTCGTCTTAGCAGAACCTGAAGTATGAGAATTTCCATACAAAGATAAAGGAAGCCACCCGTCACTGGTACTAGAATCCTTTTTGTGCTTCCGTCGGGATACAAGACACACAAACAAACCAACAAGAAGAATTGCAGCAATTCCACCACCAACTCCGCCTCCAATGATTTTTTGGTTCATCGATTTCCCCTTTCCAGATGATTGGTTATTTAACAAGTTGTCTTGTGGTTGTTGAACAGGAATTGGATTTGGACCGGCAAGATTGCCTTTAGTATCATTTACTTTGAATATTTCTACCCCATTCAAGATAGCATCATAATACTCGGGCCTTGTGGCAGGGTTAGGATGCAGACCGAGCCAAAGTTCTGGGTCAGCCTGCCCAGAAGGAACAACAACCACATAATCCCTGTGAACTGGAACCCCATTACTTTCTCCTGCCCAAGCAATTACATCTGCCTGCCGCTCTGCAGTCTTATTATTAAGGAAGATACTGAACACTCTTTGGTTTATCTTTGTAATAACATCTGTTGTCTCACAGAAATGGAGCCTAACCAGGTAAGAGAAACCCGAGTCAATAGGAAAGAGCCAAGTCAAGTTGTAGTTCATGTTAACAGATGCATTGGGACCCATTGATCTAAGAGTGCTGTATACATCAATTGGGGCAATATAAGTTGGTGTTCCTGGAGGGTAGCTGACCTTCACATCTGGATCTGTTGTCTCTGTTACACCACTGGCAGCACTAAATATGTACATTGAATCATCATGCCACGACCTAAAAAGACCTGTATCGCTGGATGGTGAAATGTCGTTTCCACCTACATTCAGCCGATATACATTTTCAAGTGCAGTACTGTTGTCAATATTGAATGCAGTCGATTGACCAACAATAATAATAGTCCCATCCGTACTGTAAATGTCAGGATGCGAAACAATCTCAATCCCATTCACATATGCATAAGAGTTAGAAATATCCTGGGACGGTATGAAAGTTAGACTTAACACTTCGGACAGGACATTGACAGAGAACTCCTTCATCAAAAAATCATAGTTCAGGGCTTCAACAGTTTGTGCAGCACTAAAGTTTTTCAACAGGGTATATGGCCCAGAAGTAACCGTGAAGACACCATTGAAAGCATCTAGGCCATTATAGGATGCAGGATAAAAGTACAAACGGACATATTTACGGCCTGGTGCAACGGGGAAATTATAGGTATACTCGGATTGGAAAATCCTGGCAGTCATATAAGGTACATCGGGTACAGAGGGTTTCTGGGTAGCAGCAGTGGCCGTCGAAGTGTTTCCGCGAGAAGATGCAAACTTTGATCCAATATCTGATGTCCATTTTCGATTATCAGTATCACTAGAATCAGGGGGACCTCCACAGTTCAATAAAATTTTATCTGTTGGTACATAATCAGCTGCTGATGTTAAATCAACCACAACGGTCACTAACAGAAAACTGATAATTAATAAGAGCCGAGAATTATTGTTGTTCTTCATAGATGTTTGATAAAGCCCAGGAAGTCCACAAAAAATCTGGAAATTTGAAAATAATCAGTTTTGACCTAAAAAAAAAAGCACAAAAACTTGAGCACATAGCTACTCTAGAAACTAACATTTACAAACAATATAAGATTAAACTACCTATTTTCAAACATATTTCTACCGAATAATCTGAATCGACTGTAGCTAAATACCAAGATCTGGAACATAAAAGAAATATGAGATTTTAACTACTCTAGAACAGGAAAGTTTAGTAGATCCATTAATACCAAGCTCAAGAAAGCAATAATGTAAAGAAGGAAATATAGACTAACAGGAAATCAAGAAAATAAGATAATTACCTAACAATAAGCACTTGAGCACTTGAACTCCAAAAATGAAAAATTCAAGCCATAAGACCGCAATGAATGAAAATCCAAATACTAAGCTTCAATCAGCACAGAAAATCCAAGAATATATCTCACAGAGACCAAGGTCGGATCAGAAGGAAACTGATTAGAGAGAGAGAGAGATTTTGAAAAGAAAACCTGTAAAAGTGGTTAAGCTGATGTATATAATCTGTTCTTTCTTAAATGATGACAGGTTAAGCTGCAGCATTATTTATTATTTATTTATTATCTCTCTCTATATCAGGGGCAAGAACGCGTAAAGGTGAAACAGAAGAGAGGAGGCGTGTGTTTTTCAATATCTTTAATTTTATTTATAAAAATAAAAATAAAAATTCAACCAATCATCTTTTCAGTAAAATAATTTTAGATACGAATTTTTTATTTTTTTTCCCACTAATTAATTAGATATATAAATTTTTTAAAATTTACTTTCAATAAAATTTATTCTAAAAAATATACAAAATTTGTTCTAAATTTCTTGAATTGCTTGGAAAGTGTTAGAATCCTCACTCACCTCTGTTGAATGGAAGTTAAAATCAAGAGTTTAATTCAAATCAAAGTCAACAATTAATTTTAATTACATATTTTATGAGATCTACAAATTTTCAATCACACGATTCATCAACTTTTATCAAAATCTACATTTTAATCCCCAATACTCACAATTGTAATGGAGGTGGGAGAGTGGTCGGTTGAATTTTCTATGTGGTCACTAAATTTTTAGTGAAGCTTCACTTAGGTCATTAAGTTTTAATTTAATTTTAAATTAAGAAGTTTCAAAATATTTAAATTCTTAATCGTACTGTTTGATATTCAAATCGAAGATAGAATGCTATTATTTCAAAATCAATTTGTTGATTGTACACATAATACTAAATCTACAATTTTGAAAATGTGATTTCAATTTGGCAGTTTTCTCTTAACAGTTCCACATTCAATTCAAGAGACAATACTCGACGAAATGTAACAAAATAGTAAAATTTGAAACTAAATGGAAGCTTAATAACTCAAATGAAATAAATTAAAATTTTGCTAAAAGTTCAATGACTACCGTAGAGCGGGCACATTCGTGGGTGGGACCCCAATAAATTGACTTCATATTGGGACGAAAGCTGGGCTGGCATAGATCACCGTGTCGCCAGCCAGGTTCACCCAACCAACGCACTTCTTAATGTCTGTTTTTGCGTCTTGCCAGCTCAAAAAATAGTTTTTTCAACCTCTCTTTTAAATTTTCAATTGTGTTTTATTCTCTAAAACATAGGAGAAAAGATATTGGATTTTGATAATGTTCGATTGGAACGGCTAACTAAAGTCAGTCTTGCTTGTGTGGAATGAAAGAAAAAGTCAAATGACATTTCGGTGTGATAAAAATAAAAAATTTGAGTTATGTATAGCTGTATTTAGAATAATAATTTAATTGCAATTAGTGCAGGTTTTTTTTGATTTTCCATTTTGAATTTGGTGAAAGAAAATTGAAAAGGGATTCGAGTTTTGGAAGAATTTGAAGAAAAGATTGCCACTTTAACTACACTGTACTAAAAGAGTAAATATTACTAATTTAATTTTAGAGCATTGAATAAAAATTTAGCCCCATTTGATTGCACGAAATTTTCTATAGAACTTGGAATTCGAATTCCAACTTCCACTTTTCGCCTGTTTGATTGACAAAATTTTACAGGGAATTGATTTTCTATGAATTTCTAGGTACAACATCTTAAAGCGTGGTTTTTCACTTTTTATTTTCCCAGGGGTAGGTGGTTTTTGGTTTTCCACCTTTTTTTTAATTGTTGGCAATGAGAACAAATTCTAGGAACAATGGTAGAAGTGAATATCCCTTAAATTGACAATTTTCATGTGAAACAAAGTCAAACGAACACCAAAAAACACTTTTACTTCAACATTTTCCACGTGGAAAATTATATCAATCAAACTCAATAATTTACAATTCCTAAAAAAATAATTTTTAGGTAATTCAATTCCCTGGAATTCATTTTCTTTCCACCCAAATTCCATCTTCGCAATCAAACAGACCCTTAATTTTATTTCTTCTTAGAATTGTATCATTCTTATCGAACAAGCTATTAAAGGAAAGCAAAAAATGACGATGCATTTTTTACTTCGGTAAACCTCCCATTTATTTTTCGCGTGTGCCAAACATTTTATATTCCTCAAGCGAGGAATCCCTTCCGTATTGTCACCTATTCGATAATTGTCCATAATTGTCAAGAAATGCTACCATAGGATAGGCACCTAATATTATTAATGAACATGTTATAGTTGGGTTGGCTCAAACATTAAATGACTGTTTATTCTTCAATTTTGCTTGCTAATGCCACCTCTGTGCTAGTGTCAAACAAAATTGTTAACTTTAAAAGATAAATTTACTTTCAATCTATAACCAAAAAATAAAAATAAAAAATGTAAACATATAATAAGAAGTAAATATGCAATAATTACACAATATTTTCTTAAAGTTAAAAATATCTGATCTATAAAATCATCAGTTTATCTCCAACCTGAAGCAATGGTTATGCCATGCCATCTTCAAATAAAGACAAGGAATGTGAATTTTCCTGAGATAATAAAAAATAAAACACAACTGCTTTTATCTACTAGCTAGGAGAGTCAATGTTCTTGTTGGAAATTATATTAAGTTTCAGTGCTTATTTGATAGAGATTTTGTTAATTGATTTTTTGACCATTAGTGATAAAGTGAGTCCTATCTGTGAGAGAAGAATTCAAAAATGACGGTTGAAATAGTGAAATAACGGTCAAAAAATTGATGTTAATTGAATCAAAATATCTACCAAACATGCTCTCAACTTTCAAAATAATTACATTTTAATTTTCAAATTTTGGTCTAATTAAAATCCTAGTTTGTAATGAACATATACTTAAATAATTGAAGACAGGTTATGAATTAATTTATTTTACATTATTGTGGGGGGTTGATTTTTCCCTATAAAAGGGATAGTGATTTCATTGTTAGATACAACATAAAATATACTGCTTAAATACATAAAATACTCCCTCTACATTTCATATTATATTTTTATAGTTTTGACAAGGGTAATTAGCACAAAATGTCCCTACCTTTCAATGTTTTTGTGAAAAACGTCCATATCTTTCGTTTTTTGGCGGATTACACTCTCACCTTTACCTTTTTTTTGCGCAAAACGTCCTTTTGTCAGCTCTCCACCTATAGATCCATTTTATTTGAATAGGTAGTGCTATATGAAAGGTAGGGACGTTTTCCTCAAAAATATCGAAAGGTAGGGACGTTTTGTGCTAATTACCCTTTTGACAACTCAATAAAGGTATGTTCTTTATTTCCCTATGATTGTATTCATAAAAAGAGAACCAGCTATGAGTCATATGAATTTTATCTTGGAGCCGTGTGTGCTGAAAGTACCCGCTCTAAGGAGATGAAACATGACTTTAAAGTCATTGACATGACTCCCTAAAGCTTGCTTTCCAATTCTCTACTTATATTTTATGTTTATGTTATTGTTGAATGCTTTATACTTATATTATTATAGTTGATTATGCTAATTAGTAAATGTGTACAGACAAATTACCCATTTTCTCCAATAATTTCAAGTCATGTTTGGATTATTTGTGTAGATGAATCGTATGTGTGATTAAACTAAATCTAACTCCAAGTAGGCTACGTATATCTAATTTGGTCTTGCTCACCTAGGATGTAAGTTGGATAGAGCTTTAAATGAGGAGATGCTAATAGGATATTTCAAATATGTAGATGAAAAGAACTAATTTTCTGTGCAAGGTTTATTTTCTAAACGGGGAAGTGAGTTTCCGCATGCCTAACATTTGCAGAAATCCATTAAGGAGGTGAACAAGTTAAATACTGAAAAGTGTAGGAGTCGCATATAAAGGAAAAGGATAATGAGCAAATTGGAAAACTTATCAAAAAAATGTTTGAGTACACACCTAAATGCTATGGTATATTTATAATTTAAATGAATAAACTGATGCTTTAATCTTAGTTGGCTAATTTAGAGCTTGTGTGTCTCTCATTTTGGGAGAAAATATAGAGTTTGAATAGTAATTTTTGGAGAATGTGTGATTGAAATTTTAAAAAGTTTTGTTGGTTTGTGTGTAGAATATTTTATTGTTTGAATGTGTGGTGAAAAATGTTACTGTAGGAAACAATTTATTTTGATAAAGGAAGACAAACAGAGTTTTAGTTTCCATACTAAGATTCATATGACTATGTGATGTCAATAATGAAATATTTACACGATGTAGACTTCTATTTTTACTATAAATATGCAATTGATTTTCAAAATTGTTGTATATCAGGAAAACAAGGAGGTGTACATGCACATATATTTTCAGATAAAGTATGTCGTTATTTATTATTTGATTACAAATTACTATTTACTTACTGACCACTAAGGCGAAATATATTTTCCAAACTGGGATGCTCAAAGTTGAAGGTAAGATTATGTGACTTTTATGTAGTCATTAATATTTGTAAGTAAACATAAGTCTTTGCAATTTTTTTTTTTTGTCAATGACTAGGTAAATAAATTAATCATGATGTAAGTTTGTTAGAGATATTCTAAAATTACCTACAAGCATATAGGTGGAAGTAGAAAATAAATACTTATTGAACAAACTATGTTGGAACATAATTGTTATTCATTTTAAATTTTATTTATTTCGTTTTAACCAATTCGTTATAAAAGTTATGAATAAATATTTCAAAGAGAAGTTTTATAGTTTAAATAGTATAAAATGTTATAATCGACATTTAAATTATTGAGGTTATAACATTGTATACCATATTTTATTTAAATTTCATCTCAACTGATATTTATATTAATAGGCTTCACAAATAATTGTTGCTAGATGAATATTAGTAACTGAAGGGAAAAAATGGAAAAAAAGGGGGTGGGGGTGGGGCGAAGAGAGTGATATATTGGTGATTATGTATGGTGTAAGAAAGTAAAGAGGTACATTTAATTCATGATAAAATCTATACCTAAAAATTAAAGGCAAATTTAATATATGGTTAATGGTACAATAGTAGATGCCAGCCATAAATAAATAATTAAAATGCGTTGTTACGTGCAAGTCCATATTGCAGTGTGTAAAATTATCGGTGCATTGATTTTTACTCTAGTCAATCATTGCCTAATTATGCAGTTAAGTGGCAAATGACATGAAAATATG